CATTCCACCCGCAATGTTTAAATAATGCAAAGGCAAGTTAGATGTGTAAAAGCAATGAACGATGAATAAAACAGTACTAACCTAGAGTTCCGCCATCTGCTGCTGTGAGCTCTGCTGCCGAGAGCGTATGGGGAGGGAGGAGCTCGTGCTCCTTGCTCGAATCTCGGCGAGGTTGGGAACAGAGGCGGAGTTGACTATGATGGCCGCCATCCAGTACCGATCGTGCTGCTTCCCTCCTCCCATCCTCATCAGGAGGTCTGTGTCCAGGGGCTGGGTGGCCGGATCGAAGTCCTCCCCATGGTGCTCATGGGCCGCCGAGGCGTACTCGCTAAGCTTGCTGTGGACGCTCGCGTTGGTGTACGCCTCGGGCCCGTCCGCCGGGTTGTAGGTGACTTCCGGGGCCGTTGCCTTGCCCTTGTGTGCTAAGGCGTACGCCATGAACTCGTTGCATTCCTAGCCTTGGTGCGCCTGGGACTGCGAGGAAAACACAAAGATGATTATAAGTAATGAGAATTGAGCGTTAGAATAAATAAATAAAGATGAAAACACAAAGAAGATTACCCATGTCCTGCAGGCGTGACGCTACGAGGCTCCGGTTGCCTTGGTGGTGGTGTGGCACCCCACCCATCTGCAGTGGCAGTCCCCCAAACGGATGTTGTGCTTCTCCGCCCACTCCTCCGAGAGCCACCTGTCCACAATGGCCTCCCAGCAGAGGTGGTGCCTGGCGCACCAATCAGGACATTGCTGCATGCCATCAAGTTATTGATATGTTAGAAGATAAAATAAAGCCTACCTATTCTTCATGGAAGGAGTCGAGATTAATGTTTCAGACTTACCGAGAGGTCTTGCTCCTTGGTGAGTGTCCTGGTCCTAGCATCGGCCTTCCTCACCACCGACCAAGGACGTCGGCGCGCCAGAGTTGATGATGCACCTGAGCCCGCCTCTCATGGTGTGTCTGAGAGTCGGGACCCATCGACCTTGTCCCTGCACTCGCATGCGCTCGGTCCTCAAACCCTTCGTCATTTTGAGAAGTGAACCTCACAGATGTCTTGCATATTGGGCATGGGAACTTCCCGAACACACCACGCCAGAGAATCACGCCATACGCCAGAAGTCTTGCGAGGAGTAGTGGTACCACACATGCATTGTGAAGTTCTTCTTTGTAGCTCGGTCGTATGTCAAGACCCCCTTTTTCCCAAGCAAGGATCAATTCATCAATGAGAGGCTCCATGAACAAACCCATCTTGTTCCACAGGTGTCCAGGAATTATCAGTGACAAGAATACGTTCTTGGGTTGAAACATGACGCCGGGGAGAGATTGAGGGGGATCACGAACATGGGCCAACAAGTGTACGGGGCCACCAGCAATCCATAGGGGTTGAACCCATCTGTTGCCGCCCATTCTACGTACATTCTAAGCCTCCTCGGCTTTACCATGATGTATGCCATCGAAATGGGTCCATGCATCGCCATCCGATGGGTGTACCATCTTGTCGAAGATTGTATCTTTTGCCATGTTTGTGCCATGTCATCTGCTTCGCGGACTCCTCTGTCATGTACATCCGTTGGATCCTCGGTATGACAGAAGGTACCAGAGGACCTTCAAGGGGATACCAAGTCGTTCCTTCTTGCCATCACTAGTGTCGACCTCCTCGATACCTAGAGGATTTGCACTTTGGACAAGGTCACGTTGCTTTCTCGTGATCTTTCCTAAATAGGACGCAACCATTCTGGACAAGCATGGATGTGCTCATACGGCATCTTAAGGGCACGAAGAAGTTTCGTGACTCGTGCACAAGTTCTTGGCGAGATGTGACCCTCCGGGCGTGGATCTAACAACTGCCAACATACCATCGAAGTTGTCTCGACTCATGCCACACTACGACTTGAACGCCATTAGGCGTCCAATGGCATCTAGTTGCGAAACCATTGTCTTTTCATGAAGGGGCTTCTGTGCCGAAGACAGCATATCATAGTACGCCTTTGCGGATTCCTCTGGCTCGTCCTCTAATCCTTCACCGAACCGTGCCTCCTGAAAGTCATCCATCCAGTCTGCTACCCCAGCATCTCCATCAAAAGCCTCGAGGCGTGGTCTCACCACCTCCTCTCTAATACGATCGGCTTCACCATGGTGGATCTAGCAGGTATAGTTTGCGCGTGAATCCATACTTGCAAAGATCTTCCCCCACGTTCTTCCTATTCTTTCTTACACGGTTGTCACATTTGCTGCAGGGACACGACATCCGACTTGACCCTCTAGTAGCCTCGCCAAATGAATGCTCCAAGAAAGCATTAGTCTTAGTCATCCATTCTGGGGGCATACTTGCGTGACCCGTGTACATCAATCACGATTCTCCGTCCTCTGGCATATACATATGTAAGCGAGTAATATAACCAGCAATTGCATCTGCACGGCGTTCCTACCAGCTAATAGGTGAGGATAGGTCCTAATCCCACCCGCGGATGCGTAGATGAGATCAGTTTCAATGCTCCGCTCCTATCCGAGACAGAATTTTGGCAGTACCTCCCCGCTGTTCTCCCGATACACGTCCTGCAAGGGAGAGTGTGTATCCGGAGAACAACAGGAAGGTGATGCCTAAAGTCTTTCTCGGACCGGAGCGAACATTGGAAACTAACCTCATCTACGCATCCGCGGGCTGTCCAAAATACGTGGACAATCCTCACATGTGGAGATGTCCTAGTTTGTGAGCATCGTATATGATAACGTGCTCGAAACTTTTTCAATTTTTTTCCACGGCACACGCATACGATACGGCGACAACTCGACAAGTTTCATGATTTTCGGAATTCGTTCGTATTTTAAACAATTAAAAAACCACTCCCACGCAAGTTGGCGGCGTTGCCCCGTGAGCACGTTGATCGAAATTTCGAGACAGATCCTGGATTTAGCCTAAATTTACACTAAGAAACAAGGATAACATTTTTTGAACGAATGTAATCCATTATTCGATGCACATGCAGTTCAAACTTATATTTTCTGAAAAAATTCAACAAAACAAAATAAACTATAGAAATATGCCAAAAGTTAATGAAAATGTCCCAAATTTAAGCATGTTGTTTGTGGTAATGTACTAAAACTTAAAAAAAAACTGGTGGCAAAAAACCAAAAAAAAAAATTTGCCGAGTGCCAAACGGGGGGCACTCGGCAAAGAGAACGCCGCTGGATGCCGTTAGGCCCCTACCAATCTTTGCCGAGTGTCTGCTTTTGCCGAGTGCCTGCCAGGCACTCGACAAAGACATCCTTTGCCGAGTGCAGGTCTTTGCCGAGCCTCTTTGCCGAGTGCGGCGCTCGGTAAAGCAGGTCTTTGCCGAGTGCCCGAAATTTGGCACTCAGCAAAGATTTTTGCACTCGGCAAATCACGTTTTTCCCGCAGTGATAGGTACCCTCATCAATGGTCAAATACGACCCAAGAAGATTAAACCCCCTATCTAATCACACAGGGCTCATGGACTACGCCCATCAGGTGGAGATTGTCTCTGATAGGCCACGGATCTCTAACAGGACTGATTAGATGGCGCTTCCAATCAGGAAACCACGCTCGTCCGTAGGGTCTAACCCGGCAATCCAAACACCTCAGCCAGTTGGAGCCCTGCAGAGGGGTTTCGACCAGCTGGCCGCGCAGCCAAGTGCAACTGCTGCTTCCCAAGGTAGCGGACAAATGAGTCAAAGTTGTATAGAATAAGATGGAGGCTCAGTTAAAGGTCTCAAATTCGTAATATATTAATACTAAGATTGTATAGACTAAATTATATTTGGGATGATGTGGCGTATGGGAGCAAAGAAGTATAAATCAATGACTATAATTGGATTTCACTTATAATAAACCCCTTTGGAATGCAGGAATTTTACAAGAATCTTATAGGAATTTCATATGAATAAGTTAATTTTTCACAGAAAAAACGTAGCAACGGGAGAAAAAAATCCCGCTTTACGGGCCCTAAAGGACGTATACAAATACATTGCAAGAGCCCCACGCCATGTGCATGTCTAAAATATCATAGCTCTTATTGGAAGGAGTAGTACCGGGCCAAACTCAGAGTCTGGCAAAAAAAAGAAGAAGAAGAAGGAAGATTTGATGTATATATACTTGAGGGCTGCATGCTTCTATACCACATTTGCACACAGAAAAAGAGGTAATGCTCACGCGTCTTTGTTTCCTCCGTTCCTACACGAATTGGATAGAGTTGAGCATGGCCATGTCAAAAGCACAAGAAGTCGTCGAGAGAACATGCATGCTCCCCATTAGTTCGAAACAAAAGCCAGAAGGCAAGGCTAGGCAAGCTGCGCTAGCTATACCACCATGGCGCCGGCCTGGCCTTTTGTCGATGGCGGCGCGCGGCATGAGGAAGACGACGTATTATTGACTCGGAGTGGGCGCAGGAACAGAGACGCCATGACCACGATCAGACAAAGGGGAGGACGTGTACTTGTCATCCCAAAACAACTCATTTCTGCAAGCTACCATGCATGCATGCATGCTCCGGCCGCGGCACGCGCACAACGACGCCGCGCGCCGACCAGCCAGCTCCCCTTCGCGCGTGACCGTGACATGCCGGTGGCGGCTCCGGCTTCACCCTCTCTACTCTTGTCACGAGACACGCTACTGCAGCGCATGGGCTATCAGCCAAGCGATCGAACACGGAGGCCGGCCGGCACGGCAGCGCAGCGGCGCCCGCGTGCGTGTGCACCTGCATGCCAGCCCGAACGCACGGACGGCGCCCGCACACGAAACCTTGCCGTGCGGGCTGGCTGGCCGCGCGCCCTTTAAGTACCGGAGGAGCTAGCAGCTTGTCTGCCAGACTCAGTCGACGAACACACGGGCAGTTAAACAAGGGTCCAGCTAGCTTGAGAGCTCTTTGGTGGGCGGCTGTTGGTTTTAGCAGGCACGGTATAGAGGTCGAGAGAGAATAGCTAGCTAGCTAGGGCAGGGGGCTGCATTGGGATCGGATCTGGGGCGATCGAGCATCACCTTGTGGTAATGGCGTTGCTGTCGCTGGAGGCGATGGGGAGGAGGAACGTGGCCGGCCCGCTGTTGCTGCTCAACCTCGCCCTCTACGTGTCCATGATGGGGTTCGCGAGCTGGGCGCTCAACAGCTTCGTCGACGACATAGGCGACCAGGAATACTACCCACCTGCAGGTCCGTACGTCAACCGATCCGATCCGATCCATCATCCTCTCCTTCCGTGCAAATAATGACCCTTGCAGAGATTCTTTTATTATATGTATATACATACTCAACGCAATGCGTGTAGACGACGCGTGCATGTGCACGGGCACGCCTGCAGGAGCCGCCGGGCCGCGCAGCGCCGGCGACGAGGCGACGCTGCACTTCATCCAGTTGGCGCTGCTGGCCGCCGTGCTCGGCAGCGCCGCCAAGGCCGCGGCGGCGTTCCACGCGCGCGCGTCGTGGCGGCCGCAGGGCCTCGCAGCCGTCGCGGCGCTGGGCACCGTGGCGTGGGCGGCCACCGCGCTCGCTCTCGGCCTCGCGTGCAAGGAGATGCGGGCCGCCGCCGCCGCGCGCGGGTGGCAGATGCGCGCGCTGGAGGCGATCACCGCGACGCTGGCCGTCACGCAGCTGGCGTACGTGCTGATGCTGCACCGCGCCGCCGCCGCGGACGCTGATGAAGACGACACGGCCGACGCCGACGCCGCCGCCTGCAGCGGCGACCAGTGCGAGCCTGGCTGTTCCACCGCCACCGAGGGCGACGACGACGTCGACTGCCAGGACGCGCAGCGGCAGCGGCAGCATGGCCGCCACCACCACCACAGGCAGGGCGGCGGGCCCGCGTGCAGTGTCATGTGAACTAGCTTACCATGCTTGGTGTTGTCGCTCTCTTGTCTTGTGATTTCCCGTGGAAAATAAGCAATTTATAAGCTCATCAGTTTCCGTTTGTATCGTGTGTCATGTGTTCGTTTCGTGTCTGTCAGTATGTGTATGCGGTATGCGTATGTGTTTGTGTTTCGTGTCTGTCAGTATGTGCATGTAATATTGTGCCGTGTATAAGTGTATTGTGATGTCCATTTGCTGCCACGCATGTTCCCCTGGTGCGCGCATGGCAGTACGTACTTCTGTTGTCGTTGATGCCAAATTAATAAAAAGGATCGGACTTGTTTATCAAAAAGATAATGACAAGAACTTGTGGTCTTGCCATATTTTCTTTGTCTCGGGCTTATTTACTTCTAGATGGCCACAGATTTGAATGATACCACATATATATGGGGATGCCTCCATAACAATTAACACATGAGTTGTGTAGTGTGTGATCGAGGTCAGACACCACCAGATTAAGATTGAGATCGAGGAGGAGGGGACACGAACCTCGATACGAGAGGTACTCCTACTTGAGAACGGTGGCAAGATAGAGTTTAATTGCGCTTTGCTTGTTATTATGTCACGATATAATGCGACAATGGGAGGTAGCTTATACTCAATCCGTTTGGAATTTGGATCAAAAAACGAGTGAAAAGTAACTTCTCGACATCCATCTCATTGTACATAGAACCACCAAACTGCTACTCCAAAAATTTGCATTGCTTGGCTGATTTATATTTACAAAGTATACACTCTCTTGGCTCAAAAAAAAAATACAATTCTTGTTTTTCAAGGAGCTAAACAGTTTTTAAGTTTGACTAGATCTATAAAAAATATACTAACATTTATGGTAACAAATAGCAAATTTATTAGATCTATCATGAAATATATTTTTTATAGTGTATCTATTTGAAGTAGCAAAGTTTATAATATTTTTATAAGCTTGGTTAAATTTAAAGAAGTTTGGCTCAATCTACATCTTCAATTATATCTTTTTTTGGGCGGAGGTAATATATGTTATGTCAAGAATAAATTTTCTTTGTCTCGGTAACAAGCCTACAACAAACACTTTACCGCAGAATATCTGTTGCGATTAATTAATGGAATGTAATGCAAATGGAGGTCTTTCTGAGCTACTCTCTTAGGCTTGTTTGGATGCCCATGTATATGTGTTGAGGTGGGTTAGTGTGGAATTTAGGATTGAGTGAATACATTGACATCCAAATAAAGGCTTTAATGAAAAACATATTTATATTAGGTGTTTATATTAGGCACGGCGTGAAAAGAAAATATTTGCAAGCCACCGGTAATCACCTACATATATATAGGCAAGCATGATATATGCTAGCTAGGTCAACAACCTAACCTAACTTGGTCGGTTGTGATGCTGACAGTGAAAGATCATTGAGGATCCGGAGTATACAGAGGATGCATGATACGCTAGTTTATTTGGATCTCCGATCCCTCTCGTCATGCATGTGGTGTGAGAGAGCTCCGGCGTCACCTTCAGTTCGTAGTTTACAAAGCCTCGTTTAGTTGGTCGAATTCGGCGCCGTCGGATTCACTGTTCGACACTGTAGCGTACTGTAGCATTCGTTTGTATTTGGTAATAATTGTCCAATCGTTGACTAATTAGGCTCAAAACGTTCGTCTCGCAAAGTACAACCTAACTGTACAATTAGTTTTTGATTTCGTCTATATTTAGTACTCCATGCATATACCACAAGTTTGATGTGACGATAAATCTTCTTTTTGCATAGTGCAAAAGTTAGAAGTTGGGAGCAACTAAGGCCAACAAATCCCAAACAAAACACTAGAGTCTAGTCCTAGATAAGCTAGGTAGCTAGCTAATCGCAGCTTCAGCATGACAGCATATATTCCCAACGTTTGTTGCATGGAGCCTTTTTACACAAGTCAGTACACAGTCCTCGATCGAACGTGTGTAGGGTTGCTTAGGTGGAGGCCTCTTAGGCAAAGGCAAATCTATTAGAAGTCCGGGAATATTGCATTGCCTGATGTAGACAGATATTTGAAGCAACAATTTTTCCAAGCAGACCTCCTAATCTTAGGCCTTGTTTAGATGCCAAAATTTTTGGTAAAATGGCACTGTAGTAGTTTTCGTTGTTATTTAATAATTAGTGTCCAATCATAGTCTAATTAGGCTTAAAAGATTCGTCTCGTGGATTTCGTCTAAACTGTGTAATTAATTTTATTTTTTATTTATATTTAATGCTTCGTGCATGCGTCCAAAGATTCGATGTGACGGAGAATCTTGAAAAATTTTGCAAAATTTTTTGCAACTAAACTGGACCTTGGTGTCTGTCAGCCTGCTGTGTCACTTCCGGTACAAGAAAAAAGCCAGTAAGGCAGTTGCACATGCACACCGCTCAAGAATTTGGAAAAAGGACTTCGGGTGCTAATTTAAGGTTCCCTTTTGAACAACTCATGTTCAAGTACCATTATGCAAACATTATAATCTCCGTTAGCTCGTAGCATATATAATTATATATTGCTCTATCACTTTACAAAGGTACGTTACGTACGGCAAGAGTAAACTGATTGATCACTAATACTAGTAGTACTAGTACTTTGTCTTCTCTTTCATCTTCTTAACTTAAAGACATATATAAGGCTCCACTACTATGCTAACTCGTATTCAAAACGCTGGATTATTGTTTCTCTAGTCTCGGTGTCGTGTCGTGAGATCCACCTTCTGTTCAGAGTTGCAAGCATATCTTCAAGAATGAGTTCGCTTTAGTAGTGTTACGGCCGAAAGGAAAATTCCATCCCCACATTGATCAATAATGGCTGCAAGCCTATGTGTAATCTTTTTCATTTTTTTGTCTCCTTTTTTGTTTCTGCAAACTTGTACTTTGAACTTTTGTTTTCAGTTTAATAAAATTCCAGTAGGGGCTTTTACCCCTCCTGCTTCATTAAAAAAAAAAGAAATATTGCATGGTAAGTAAGTTCTCCGAGAAGAAGAAAAGGAAGCATCATCCTCCGTGCTAAATGTACTTGTTCTAAATTACGAATCGTTTCGGCCGTTGTAGGCACAACATATATTGATGTGTATAGCCAAAAAAAAAAAGAGAGAGGAAACTATGTACTTATAGAAAAGCAAATTATTTACGATTTGAAAAGTAGCTCCCACAATATATTCTGTACTACGTGGCCTGTTTGAATTAAGGGAAATTAAAAACGTGTACATGTACCGGGTTGTTGGAATAAAGGATAGCGTATTAGGTACGAGCGTGCACACATGCAAGGTGCTACTAGCTATATATAGCCTATAGGCCCAACAACTTCAGAAAAGATAGAATCAGGATCATACGCGTTGCCGGTACACGGGAGACATACGTGCGACACGATGCAATTGATTATTACTAGTTCCTCGCAAGAAAAGGAGCTACCTATTGCGTGCTGCCGCTTGCTGTAAACTGTAAAGCCACCGTCTCCTTTTTCAACCCCTAGCTCTTGTCGTCTTAGGTTCATTCATCCTCACAAAGTACTCCAGTGGCTAGTATCAGTGCAAGTTGCATTGGTAGCTTGGTACATAACCTAACTACTAGGGATCACAGGCCCTGCATCAACACGCTGATATATACAAATACTTTTTGTGTCACAAGAAATTTCAAGATTACTATGTACTCCCTCCGTGGATAAAAGAATGCAATTCTCACGTTTTGAGAAATCAAACGGTTTAAATTTTGACTGAAATTATATAAAAATTACCAACACTCATGAGATAAAATAAGTACCATTAGATTAGTTATAGAAATATATTTTCATAATAAATTTATTCAGAGATATAAATGCTAACACTATTTACTATAAACTTGATCAAACTTAATTTAGATTGACCGGCATGGTTTTCATAATTACATTCTTTTATGAACGGAGGGAGTAGAGTATTTTAAAGCCCCCTCTGGAACGTGGGATTTTTTTTCCCGTTTCTTGCGTTTTTTCTACGAAAAATGAACCAAATCCTGTGAAATTCCTATAAAATTTCTGTGAAATTTCTGCGTTTCAAAGGGACCCTAAATTTCTAGAGCAGTAGGGAGTGATCTAAGGCTGTGTTTAGTTCGCGAAATGAAAAATTTTGGATGTCACATCGAATGTTTCGAGGATGTCGGAAGGGGTTTTCGGATACTAATAAAAAAAACTAATTACATAGCTCGTCTGGAAACTGCGAGACCAATTTATTAAGCCTAATTAATCTATTATTAGCGCATGTTAGTACTGTAGCACTTATGGCTAATCATGGACTAATTAGTTTTAAAACATTTGTCTCGCGATTCCCAACCAAACTGTGCAATTAGTTTTTTTTTCATCTATATTTAATACTCTATGCATGTGCCGCAAGATTCGATGCGATAGTTTAGAGTGAAAATTTTTGGAAACTAAACCATGCCTAAATTATGAACTGAACATTTCAATTACTAGGTAGCTACTGTACGGCATCCTTTTACTCCGTCAGGTAGGTTGTGTCGACGAAATATGGTCGGCAGTCTACCTAGGGGTATGCCCAAGGTAGTAGATTATCGGCAGACAGGTGCGCAAGTCCCAAACAAGACGGTGACGCAAAGATGTACACGAGGTTTTATCCGTGTTCGGCCGCCAAGAAGGCGTAATACCTACGCCCTGCGTCGATTTGTATTGTTTGTATGTCAATGAGAGATGATCTTTAGAGGGTCCCCGCCCACTTTATATAGTCCGGGCGGTTACGAGATCTGAAACTAATCCTAGTCGGTTACAATTGCCATATGTGGCCGGATAAGGATTCCTACTCTAATCGACCAGATCCCGCTTGGTCGCCAAATCCGTCTTGATTCCTTATGCGGGACTCGATCAGTTTAATCGGGCAAGACGTCATCTTTCGTGGGATGAACCTATCGATCCAGCCAACCCAAGCTTAGCCAGTAAGGGTATAGGGGTTAATACCCCCACGGCTAGTCCCCGAGCATCATGTATTATGTCACGACACGCCATTT